TTACATGTGCAGAGTTTTTATCTTCGTTGGCAAATCTAATAGGATTAATCAGCTGATCAACATTGGTACATGGTATGGCCTATACGTGTGGTTGGCCTGCACGGGAATGGATGCGGGATTTGGGCCCCGTCAGGGTCAAAACCTCGTTGGTACAAGTGCCAAGCGGGAGCAAAAGGATCGCGTTTGCGATTCCGGGGGGAGATTTTCGAATTTGGGGTTGACCAAGGTAACCGAGATGGATTAACCTTGTCCAACCTCAAACAGGAACAGTGCGAACGGCGGTCGTTTCTGTGGAAATTGAAGAGGTTGTGGCTACGTCATGCGAAAGGGGATCGTTTCTGACGGGTTTCTGGAGGACTTCGGCAAAAACTTAACAGAATAGTGTAAAATAGAAACTGGATTTTACACTGTCGGTGGATTTGCCGTATCAAGCATACCCTCACCCTTCCTCATCCCACCCTCCAAATCGACGATTGGAGAGAAGAATTGGGTGGAGCTGGAGCGGTCGGCTGTTCGTCCTTGGAATAAAATCCTGCCGCAGAAACAACCTTGATGGTGAACGTGAGGGAAGGGAGGGGAGGGGGGAGCTCTTATAGGGACCTCCTAGCAGGGTCAACCCTATGTTGCTACAAGTAGCAACGGGGGGTCGTATTTTGATGAGTTTGTAGAGGGGGGGTCGTACTTGCTTCGGTTGTAAGAAGTTGCATGTGATGAGTGGGAGGGCGGAGAAAATTTGCCGTTTCAGCGCGTATAAGCCTTTTCAGCCCCCCTAGAAAATGAAGCGGTGGGATTATAGGTGGAAGTGGGGTAAATTGGATGAAATTTAGGGAATTTTGATAAGTTTTTACTGTTTCAGATACTAGTAGATCTGCCCGTTACAGCACCTATAATCTTGGGAGGAAAAATGCTTCCTGTGAGATGATTATGGTGGAGTAGAAAGGGGTCGTACAAATCCACCTTCGGGGGTCGTAAAAGAATTTCGAAAAGTAGCAACGATAGGACCGACCCTGCTCCTAGGGCTGATGGTAATGGCAGAGGTCGTGTCAGGACACCCGTGCGTTGGTCGCAAAGATTATGGAAAGATGTCGGTGTTAGATTTGACCCGTTCCCGATCGTACCTGCGGTAACGTCGCCAAAGGGCTTGATCTTCGCCCTCAACCCTGACACTTGATCGGGCTGATCACAAGGTGGTAAACAAAGGTTACGGGGAAGTTTAAAGTCATCAAAATAGGGGGAAAAGCCGTTGCAAAGTATCTTTCAGGGATCCATCGCAAGCAACCGCGTTACTTTCACGTTACTGATTTTTCTTTCAACATTTTGGCTTTTCCGATATGTTCAAGTGAGATATATGGATAGCATTTCAGGCAGATGGTCCGCTCCGCAGGTTGCCGACCGAGTCGAATTGGATTCACCTTTTTGGCAGCGTTCCCTGCTACTCTACACTAGTGCCGCTTGCACGACGTCTTCCGTTCGCCTCAAGCACGAATTTCGTGCAGTACCGTCCATGTTGGTATTGCATCTTTGTTCATTTCACGTCTCCATACAATTTCTTTAATGCTTTACATTCTTGTTGCAAGATAGCCTGCCCACTACACACACTAGCAGTCGACCGTAAATCTACGTCAGGTTGATAGAGCTGTTAAATCCAGTAGTTGATATATATCCGAAGAGGCGTAATTCTTGTGAAATTATACACGTCTTCTTCGCCGGTAGTTCGTCGAACTTGACTTGGTGAGTTCCCGTCTCCTATCCCTATTACTCCCACCAGGCCACTGGAACAAATTTAACGTACCGGAAGGCACTCCATAATTTTCCACATCCGTGAAACTCCTGTAGATATCCAACAGGCGTTGCAAATGCGTTTTCAAAAAAGAGGCAGCAATAAATTTAAGACCGTGTGAAATACAGTTCAAGTATGTTTTGGAGGATAGCCACTTGAATGTTAGCTTTACATCCTTAGAACAGAGCGGAAGAGGGATAGCGTAGATGCTAACTACCACGGGTGTCTGGGTGAAATATCGTATCGGAATAAACTCATGGTCAGCCCAATGAGGATCCTTCTCTCTATAAACCAGAGCAATCAGCACCGGGCTTGTTCTGCCAAAGCAATGGTACCGTCGTTGGCGTCAAAAGGCTAGTGCCAGTTACAAGGAGGGAGGAGGGGGAGGTAAGTCACTCACCTTCACTTTCAAACGGAATCAACCACACTTTGCTAATTTCTAATCGAACAGTCCGAAGGAACTGAAATTTGAAGAGCACATTTCAATCGATGAGAAAACTTCATAATATCCTTCTACTCCAGCGACATCAGAAGATTTTCTGAAGGGAAATTTAAGGCACATAATGCCGTAAAACTTCCATCAACAGTAGCATCCTGTGCGATGAAAACATTGCTGATGTGCGCCATACCAAATTAAAACACCAACGCCGTTTTGAATGTGGAGGAAAGTGACTTTTCCTCGTTCCCCCTCCCCCTTCCTGAATAGGCCAAGTATGCGAGTATCAAAGGCGTCATTGAGCGTGCTCAACAGGCGATGTAATGATAGCTCCTTGACTGTTCCCATTTCCTGATTAGAGTGCTCACTTCTGCGCATTGTTATTCATTCTTATCTAAGCCCCTTTGCCTTTCTTCCATCCCTACTGAGAGTAGGCCACTATAAATTTTTATAGCTAGCATTTAGGGGCGATTTTTATTTGATGAGCTTTCTCGCCTGTACATAACAAAGCTCGAATTGGACGATTCTGACGAATATTTGTAAGTTTCTACATATCTTTTGATGATTCACTTTGCCAATCGTAAGATCTGTTCACACTCGGCGAGGGATGGGGTGATCACCACGTTTCTCGACGACGATGACCAGCAAAAGCAGTGTACAGAACGTCAAAGGATTAGAAGAGACCCTAATAAGGGAGGGAGGAAGGGCATAGGCCGATGGTAGAACGTTGAGGGTGCGATTCGTCCATTCCGGCGAAACTTTGCCAGCTGCCGTCCATGCTTCAAGCGCAGTCATTACTGGATTAACCTGAGTAGTCGTGCCCCAGCTACGTTCCTTTTAGAGGTGGCTATAGACAGAGGCACATAAACAAGCGGACAAACAGATGCCCTTGTATACAACAACCAAGTGCGTCTGCAATGCAGACCAAGCATGGCAAGTAACGACGGCCTTAGCAAAAATCTGACAATAGTGGCAGCCGATAGTTGATAAATGGTAGCTGTAGTAAGAGACAAATCATCACATTTCGTGAAGGCAGTCGTCACTTGTGTTGCAATGGTCTGCCACTCGGTGCACCTTGCTGTCGGATACGGAGGATTCACTAGGTCCTTGCTCTATGTTTATCGAAAAAAGCTCTCACAGTGCCATTTCAGTTGTTACACTGCTGAAAAGGTCCTTATGGGTGTGCATTATTTGCGAGTAATGGAAAACGATCGCACACGCGAATACATTGCAAATATTGAAATGTTCTTCCGATTCGCTGCATTTACCTTCATTTTTGTGCTAATCATAGGACAAGTGATGAAGTAACCCATTTATTGTTTGTTATAGCTGGGATATTAAATTCAAATTGTTGTTGCCTCGTTATAAGAATAAATGTTTTTATGTGGTCATGGAACTTACTATACTAAAATATGCCAACAGCAAAGAAGGAAGCAAGCGCAATCACAGACCGCAACAGTTTCATTGGAGAAACTTCCGTGGATGCCACCACTGCACTGTTTTTCGGCCTCGAAATGCTCCACTATAACCGTTCTCATACTTGACAGTTATTGCGCGCGTCGCGGTATTGGCGCGATCAATACTGCCACTATTCGTCTTCGGAAGTCTTAGCTATGTTGTATTGAATTTTCTTTCGCAAAATCCTACCGTTCCTTTGCCTTTGTGTCGACTGACTTAACAAGCAGCAAAACGCTCGTGATCACGAGGAAGAGGTTATGAAAACGATGATTTCATAGTCTTTGCAAAACATGTTCAATATATAACACTGCTAGAGAATTTCGGGTTCTGGGTGTTGTGTCCTTGTGTCTTCAGCTCCTTATCATAATTCGACATCATAATAGTTACCCGCCTTTATGGGCAAACTCGTGAAAGGCTAATCTCATTGAAATGTGAAACTAAAGGTGCTAATCGCTGACCTTGTAAAAAAAGAAGTAAAATGATCAAAAATCCGAGGGGCGGCACCTTCTTTCCCATTGATTTGAAATTTGCACGAGTTGAGCACAGCTGTTGACGTTACGGTTGCAAAAAGTTGTCTTTGCAACTGTACTATTGGCAGTTACTTCATTTGTCCTTGTTAATAATATGGACATCGTACTGCGCAGAACCTGGGACTGGGACCAGAACGATCCATTCCTGTAGTCTTCGGAATTAGTAGTATTTTTTTGTAAAAAATAAGGTGCTTCGATACTAAATAAAAGTACTCCTAAGGAGAGAATCGCTCTCTCGGGATTACGGCATGTCTGAGTGCCGATGAACAACATTTGCAACTTATAACTTTGTTGGTAGGCTTTTTTTGCAGTGAAAGCACTACATTCGTTACTCGGACCGTCTTCTACACTCTTCACTACTCATCTTTCTCTATCATGAATACTAATTTTTATAGCGAGTTTTGCCTTTTCGAATATTGAAACCGATATAACTCTCCATTTATGTAGCTTTCTGGTTTCTGGACAGAGTAGCAACACAGATCATCATAAATTACAGACTGTCATGCTTTGATTATAGTGTTTCTCACTATTAGATCCCTTCGACAGTCCTTTCCGCAAAATTTTTCACCCCACTCATTAATTCCAACAATACCTCTTATATTCTGTGTGTACCACATAAATGGATAATCTTAGAAAGTACTAGACACGTTCAAACGTTTATAAGTAATAGAAATATGCGCAAAGTACTACGGATGGACAACATGGAGAAATTATAAAGTTCTTAGCTCAAACCATGGTCCTTCCCATCAATAAAAATACACCGATAGATTACTGTCGTTGCCATCCGCTGAGCGTTTCACAAAGTGGTGCGACGATGGTAAAAAGCCGGCAAGAAAGGGTGAGCGCTCATAACGTACTCGATCCTAAACAGGGTCAATTTGAGCGAATTCTAATCAAGTCTCTCCGCTCCTCCTACAGTGTCTAGGTTGAATCTATTTCGATCCATGTCCTTCAAATCCGGATCCCTGGTTCACTTGGGTCGGCCTGCTGTTTTTGAACATATCCATTCTTTATTTCTATTGCTTCGCTCCATCATCCAAAAAAGGCTTAGAAGTCGAAATAAATCGAACTTAAGTCGTACCCGACAAACACAGCTGATTTACATGAGAATAAAACATCCGCCCATCTCGCAGCACCTATCTCGTTTCTATGCGGAAGCCAACTTTGTCAAATCTTTCGCAAATCAACTAAGAACCGTTCACTGATTGATTATTGATGGATCACCCGGAACTGTCGAACACCTACATATTTGCTCCTCATCTCATTATTCAGTATTCCAATCATTCTAATCTAATCAGTATTCCAATCATTCTAATCTAATTTTTTTGTATTCAGGCTAGTTTGTGTTCGCCTTCTTCGACCATGATCTCGATAAGCCTTTTTTGACAAATGCTTTTAGCTTTTACCGCGTCCACTAAGGAATATCCTCAGAGTAGATCATAATGTTTCCATTATTCATGTGCCAAGTAATCGAGCGCATTCTTTGAGCTGGCTCAAGCTGTGTGAAATTTTATGCATGACCTTTACAACGTTATTCCAATGTTCAATAAAGATCAGAAGTTGCGCCAGGAGCAGCAGGTGCTGGTGTATTTGTGGACTTAAACAAGATTTGCTGGTGCTGTTTCTCCAGACGTACCCCTCGTCGTCTTCTCACCAGACGCTACAATCAACAACATAACCACTCCAGACCGCGTAATTTTGTTCAGGTTCAGGATAAATTATTTTGTTCAGAGGATAAATCATTTCACTTCTGACAATTTTTATAACTTTCAGTCTGTACCGCTACCCAAGAAATGAGGCTCACCAAATCTCTTCGAAAAGGTGTAAAAACGACCGCTGGCGAGGAGAGTCATTAATGAAATCACCATGCCGCCTACGAGGACTGTCACGATAGTTGGGACCCTGACCTCCAATTCTGAAGAGCGGAATCACTGGATCTTGATGGAAACCTACAAGGCCTTCAAAAAAGCGTTCACGCTCCATGTCGTTGCGTCTACGCTCATCGTCAATGCGCTTGTAGTAGGCGTCGTATTCACCACGCGATACCACACCGTCTCCTGTAAAAGAAAATCTATTTAGCCAATTGTGTAAAAATTCGATTTCAGGCGGCAAACTCGGTAGTTCCGTGCACTAGCGGACATTTCAGCATTGACTAGAGTAGGCATCACTAGTGACCTAACTTGAACTGTGCCTTCAGAGGAACATCCCACGGTCAAACTATTATACTTGTTCACGCAACTAAATCAAATTTACGAACTGGACCGTATGTAAAAAGGATAAGAATTGAGCGAGCCGAAAGAGAAAAGAGCCGAAGTATAGGTCTTCTCATTTTTGTGATGCGTACAGAAACAAGTGAGGACAGGTGCGAGAGTACGATGGACGAAAGGACGCAGGTACTCGCATATTGTGGATGCGAAAAATGAAATAATTGAAGTGAATGTAGGAGAGCCTTAGCGTTGCTGTCTTTGAAAGTCAAGGGGCGCCAATTACAAAATAGAAAAATACGAGAGCTCCAATCTCGTTCAACTAGAGGAACAATTTCAGCCAAAGAACGCTTTGCAAGCTCACCATCCTCATCAAGTTTGTGGAAAGCAGCCGACTGTCTCTCAATATAATGATGGTCGCCGAGAATGAACTCCGTGAACGATATCTGCTCGTCTCCATCAGTGTCCAGTCGTCGAAACTCTGAAATAAAGTTCTCAATTTTATGCGGTTTCCATCCCTTACCGCGGCTGAACATCTGTGGAACCCATTTATGCACTTGAATTCGGGCATTTGGGACCGTGGCCCCAGAAACGGGAAAGGAGTGTGAGAATAAAGAAATAATGCTTATAAAGCCACGAGCTTACCATTGGCTCGTGGATTGATCTTATCAAATGGTATGGGAGTTATTCCTGCGCCTGTTTTTGGTGGCACTCCTCCAACCAGCATCAATATACTGGCAGCAATTACTAGACGGATGAGCATTACCTGCAAAGTATAACAGTATGTTTGATAATATTAGGTTGGCCCATAAGTCTTGCAACAAATTACATTTAATGCTAGAGAATTTTTGTGAGAACTCCGAAAAATCCGCAACATGTTTGTTGACGTAGCATCCACCTTTGCAATTTCAGCCAACCGTCCAGCTCGTTGTCTCGCTACTTGTTATGGATATTACACCGATTTCGCGAAAAGCTCTTCGTGCCCTTAATTTTTACGAGTACTGCTTGGAATGTTCCGCAAGTCATGCTACACCAAGGATTAGCCAGAAGATGGGCGAGGGCACGCTCTCTCAATTCACGGTGCAACGGCGCTTCACTCTGCTCAGCGTTGACTTTTTTATTTGAAAATGATCCACACTCCAACCACCCTGTGACTGGCAATCACGATGCTCTATCTGACGCTGTTGAAAAGGGATCTGGATAGACTATCGATCATTTGCTAGAGCGATTCCGATGCGACAAGGAGACAGCACTGTGGCATCTCCAAAGACTTGTGAAGATCCGAAAATATAGAGTTTGGATCCCACATGCCTTGAGCCCGATTCAGCTCCAAACACGATCTGACATCGTTATGTTCAAGTCGACTTACTATGGATTCTACGATTGACCATCCATCACATTTGCCGAAGATGAGGAGTGGGTACAGTTGCTAACAAATGAACAAGCGGCGGTAGTCCAGCTCAAACGCTTCGGGAGATCTTACTGCTAAGTTCAACCTCGTCCAAGTAGGGCCTTCTCGGATTTTTGGTGGAACACGAGAGGAGTTAAGCTCTGGAAACCCCTACGTGTAGATGTCGCAGTCAACGCGAAAGTCAACTATCCACAGCTCGATTGCAACGCTTTTAATACGAAAGAAAAACAAGGCAAAGTTTGCTTTTTATGACACCGTTGAACCACCTCTTGCTAAGAAAATTCAGGAAAATTTTGAGACTCTCGGACGGAGAGTTCTTCTGTATCCGCCTTATAGCCCTGACCTCGTGCCAAAGATCACCTGCTCCCCTCTCCAACCACCTCCTAGAGAAGAAATCTCATCCTAACCATGATGATGTCAAAATCGACATCTGATCTTTCTTCGATCAGAATTCAGTAGAGTCCTACAAGGGAGGCATCGAACAGCTTCTAGTGTGTTGGCAATAGGTTGTAGATATTGATGGTGGTAGCATGCTGGATGAATGGAACAAAAAGATAATGAAAATATTAAATTCAAAATTCAGCCAGTTTGTTGCAAGACTTATGGACCTAACCTAATAATAATAATAGTTATAGGAATATCACGATTGAAAAATGAGGCTTAATAAAGTGTACCGCAAATTATAAACGATAAGTCGGCAGCGACAAGCCTATGAGAAAATTGATGTCATTTTTGCGGAAAATAGCCCTATTTAGGTGCAAAATTGGCAAGCAGAGCAGAGTATGCTTGCTAGTGTTGCGTTGCTTCCGTGGCGTCCACCAGCACCACTATAACTGTTTTTCTTGAGGTCGTGTTCATACCCTTTGATCACGTAACAATGCAGTGTTCTTCTTCACACTAGGAGCAGAAGTGAATGCAGTCGGCACAAAAACCGCTGATAACGGAGAAACTGTTCCATGAGATGTCTCGTATACATCTTTTACACCATGGAGGAATTCCGACATTGATGAATAATGGGACAATCTTCCACAACTGGGAAGACTCCAGAAAGTGACCAGACCGCCCAATGATTGTATCTCTACGGTACATCTACTTTTAGATAAAATGGGATTGATTGGATCGAAGGTCTTAATATTTTTGAGCATATACACTGCTCTGCACAATGGCAATTCCACCAGCAAATCTCACAGAAGCATGCATTTCAAAACGTTTTCGAAAAAGGCTCTAAAGTGAAAATGTGACTCATACGAAGTTAGGTTTGAATATCAACGCAAAGTTTCAATTTTGAAAAGTGGCAATTCTATTCATCTTCGTTTCTTCAAAGAAAGCCGCTCCACCAATGCGGTTCATAGGTGAAGCTACCACAACTCATGCGAACCTTCAGAAGAGAAGAGCTGGTTCTTGATTGAGTCTATGAACATTGCGGACTGTACAGCATGCTCAGTATGCAAGCAGCATGCATGCTACGTGCTCCCATAACGGCCGCATGCTGGTCGAGAGATCTTGTGTAGAAGCGCTCCATCCCTCGAACCTCCATCCTTCATCCAAACTGACGACTGCTGAGCGTTAATGGCGCATGGGGTTGCGCTACGATAGCTCCACTAAATACATGCCACATGTGCTCCATAGGAATTGAGCGGGAGAAGTGTAGTGGCTCAACCAATCGCCGAAGATCCTCATGTTCAAGAGTTTTCCACCCAGGCTGCTCGATGCGCTCGCACATTGTCCTCCATACTAATGAAATTGGGATCAAACGCACCGCTGAAAAGATGCACATAAGAGAGGAGTACAGCGTCACAATAACGTCGATCAGAAAGCATTCCGCGATCACGAGTTGGGAGATCGGTACGCCCCTGCAACTTTATGCCTCCCCACACCATATCGAATGGACTATCAAACAATCATGTTTGCGATGGTCCCGGGTGCATTACATTTGTTCTTGCCATTTGTCTCGGAATCACTATCCACGCTCAATTTGCTCTATGTAGACTAAGGAGAGCAAGCGTTCCTCCAAATTGGTGGTCCATTTCCAACTGTCTCGGTACCTAGCAAATGTTCTCGCCGACACGCGGGTTTCAAAGGAACACCAGGTAGAAAGGCTATTCCTATGCGGTCACTGTGCCACTGTTCAAGCTGGGATTACGTGCCTTACAATCCTGATAAATGTTTTTGCAACTGCAGCCTGTGACTGACGTAGGTCCATTCTTGCCTGTTGCAAAACGTAGCAATCACCTGCTGTTGCGGTTGTTCGTGATCCACCACCTACTCTTCTAGGGGCAGCAGTGGCTGCAGTCCATATTGCTCCTTATGCGCACAAAACAATGGTGTGAGCAACATCAAACTCCTGGACCACACTCGTTACAAATCTTCCTTCTTCCAGTTTCCCGGTGATTCTTCCTCGCGTGAAGTCACCCTAGTGTTGTCTCTGAGACTTGCTGTAATCAAAAGCACCACATTCCACAGTAACTTCTCCCTTGCTAGTACACTCCCTCTTGTCCTGTTCTACCAAACCCCTCGTTCTGCGTGGCCAGTCCCTTTGGCTCCACATTGAAGCGGTCCGCGTGATTGTATGTATGAGACCCACTTTCTTGTGCACGACTGCAAGACCTTTGGCATCATGCTCCCATAGTTTCATCCAATTCCATTGAGTCACCGATAAGTTATGCTATTTTATCCGCTTCATCCTTAATTTTTGCACACTAGTGTAGTAGCGGTTCTGCTCCCCGATCAAGGGGGGGGGGGTTCAGTTCCTAGCAGTTTTTTAAAATTTGCTTTCAACATAGCTAAAAATCAACGCTCAATTGAAAATCGAACATTTGAATCCATTATTTGATCAACGGTCGCCTAAAGCTACATCAACGGAGAGTTTGCGAGCAGATCCTCTTACGTTTAAGCACTACTTGTCTGTGAGTGCCCATGGTGCCCGTAGGGCAGGTACTAGGCTTTTGTGTGGCAAGTAGGTAAGTAATTCTTGGCGTAAAGAAGTCACGGAAGTCTGAAGTATAAACGGAAAACCTAAGCGCTGAATGGAAGGTCTTAATATATTACATCACAAATATAAAAAATTAAAAACTCAAATAATAAACCAATCGTGTTGTAGAACATCAGGGAAGAATTGTTTCATGGGAGTAGCACAATAGGTGTTCCATATCATTGTCCAGGCAATTTATACCTCTATAAGTTTTTCAGGGACGATAAATAGAGCGCGATGCTACTTCGTACTAGACAGCCGCCAGATGAGATCGTTAATTGTAGTACGGGATGCTATCGTCGCAGTAGACGGACGAGTTGTTTTTTGGTGTCTACAAGGAACCACTGCGAGAGACTATACCTCTGAACAATTGTCAATGATGATATCATGGGCGGAATGATCAAACCCGCCAATGACCGGAAACCGATTAATTTTCATAAAGAAAAGAAATTAGGGCAAGGCTTGTTTTAATGTATTTCTTGCGCCCTAAAGGTTCTCTGGAAATTTTAATTACAGCATGACGTTTCGACCGGATCTTCTTGCTCAAAGGTTCAGCTAACTTCTGCAGAAGCGAATCACTTCTGCAGAAGCGAAATAGCATCGCTTTATGTCAGCTGTAGTCTGTGAAAGATACGCCGCTTCGGCGCTCATCCATTAAGGTGGGCATTATGATATAATTATTCGAGAAAGTTACGGTAATTCTAATCTTGTTCAGTGACTTCTTCGAAGCCATACGATGTTATTAGTTTCGTGGTAACGTTATTTCTTCGAGTCTATTTTTGTCTGAAAAAGTGGGTCATATTGGATGCATGATCTGCTGCAATGCTAATTTGCTCGAGGAATCCTTTGAAGTTACGGCTGCTGGCTTCTTCATTCCTAGTCATTCCTTTGTGTTTCGGTGCTAAGTGGGTTGGGGGGGGGGCACGCGGCGGCGCGGCAGTCTGCTCACCTGGCTCTCTCGAGCGAGATAGTGTAAACTCGAACATTCCAGCTTTTCACGCATGTCAAGTGACTGCCCTCACCCCCCACCCCCTAGACTGCCTACACTCCCCTGGCTCACGGATTTCCGAACTATTCACTTTCGCGAA